TTTCCTGGGTAGTGCAGAGTACAAATAAGAACAGTGCAAACCCTGCTAAAACAATACAAATTTGTTTCCTGCGTATACCAGAACCATTCCTTGCTTTCCTTCCATGGCATTGTTTTCTGCCTCCATTTCCCAGCACAGGCACCACTTGTCCTCTACCCACTGCTCAGCTGCACTGCACAGGGACACGTTCTGCTCTGGATGCTTTGATGGAGGGTCACCAGTTGCTCTCTGTGTTGTGAACACACAATTTGGAGGAAATTAGTTCCCCATCACTTTCCTGTCTTTTTAAGCATGCATGCTGTGTTCATGATGGCAGTCAGGGGTTAGAAGTCGTGTTCTACTCAGCTTTTCACAAGAGCTGAATTAAACTTAGGGCTTTCAGATCTCAGCAGACCCACTTTGAACCTGACCAGACAAGTGTTTGGGAGCATATTGGAGTCCAGCTTTACTTGTGGATTTATAACATATGAGAACGGCCATCCCAGCTCATACCCACCTTGTCCCAAATCGGTCTCAAACCTAATTGGATGTGGATATGCATCAACATATCTGTTTGACAGCTCAGAAGAATTTTCACTTTTAATTATCTTTGATTTGCTTTACAGTGTGGTAGTATTGGGCCGGCATGCAACCGTGGCAAGCAGCTGATTGCAGTGCAGCAGCTGGATACCAGCTCCATCCTGGGGGAGGTGGGAAGGAACCATCAATTACACTGGTCCTTCCCCTGTGAGTGCTTTAGTGATGGTAAATGGTTGGCAGTAGGATGGTGACTACACGTCTCTTACAGCCACATCATCCCCAGAGCGAGTGATGGAGGTCTTCTGATGGGTTTAGGCTGCTCTCGTTTGGCTGCTGAACTGCAGTGTCTCAAGTTTTCAAATTCAATCACTGCTGCTGTCACACTGATTAATATTGATGTGATTTCCCTCCCAGCTGATGGCAGCAACAGCTGCAGCAAGGAGGACTGGGCAGGTATAATGCAAGCTTCAGTTCACAGATTCTATTGTTCATTTGTAAGACATGGGAGTGTACCCTCTTTCTCTGCTGGTTCTTTTTCAGTCCTTTCTTTGTTGTAAGATCAAAGGGAGAACTGTCCAAAGGTGACAGCATTCACAAAAACCTACCACATGGTCATAGCACGGGAAGGTATTTCTCAAGATTAACATCCTGAAGCCAAAGTGATAAATACCTGAGTAAGAATGGGATCTCTTTTCAGAGCTGTTCAACACTTGCTTTCTGCGTTTAATTGATGAACTGGTTGGTAATCATTCAGGTTTGAACAGCAGTTCCCAGGCACGTTGCTAACGTCTGATCATTAGGAAAACCCTTTGCAGTGTTACATGCACCTGGTGCAGCAGCCTGGGATGTGACGCATACCTCAGCTCAGCAAAGCATGAGCCTGGAATAATAACTTCCTCCACAGAAAAATATGCTTAATTAGCTGTTCACAAATACGAATGAGGACGGGCAGTTTTCTGTTTCAGTCTGCTGTAAGTAATGATTTCTTAGCTGAGACATCTGAATCCTTCCTGTGTGTCTGTACTGTGGTTTTGTTCTTTTTTCCATTAGTCAAATTGTTTTAGGAAGTTAGGAGCTCTCATAAGAGGAGGGCTGGAAGTTTCTGTGCAAAAGATGTCATTCTTCCTCCAAATTCCTTCCATTTCTTAGTGTAATCAGCAAGCAGAAAGATGTGCTTTTTGTTTCCTGCTGCTTGCCATGATATAGTACTGGCAGCACTGTACAGATCATAGAATCACAGAATGGCCTGGGTTGAAAAGGACCACAGTGCTCACCCAGTTCCAACCCCCTGCTGTGTGCAGGTCACCAACCAGCAGCCCAGGCTGCCCAGAGCCACATCCAGCCTGGCCTTGAATGCCTGCAGGGATGGGGCATCCACAGCCTCCTTGGGCAACCTGTGCCAGTGCATCACCACCCATTGGGGGAAAAACTTCCTCCTCATATCCAACCTAAATAGATCCATGGCCATGGCTTGTCACTTCCTTGCTTTATTTTAGAGTCTATCTTAGTGATAAATGTTCTAAAATATTAATAATTTTCTGACAAAAGGGCAAAGTGGGGCTGCTCACTGCTGCCCTGGCGAGGAGATTGTTGCCCTGTGTGTTTGAAAAATACGATTTTTTAAACCAACCTTGTTTGTCTTTGTTCTTTTCTTAGGGACTGCACTTTCTAATTAGGAGCCTTGTGCTTTTTCGTCACTATGTGAACTCAGTACTGGAAATATTCTTGGAACACAAGTAGAAAGCTATGAGGGCTTTGCTTGGGAGTAATCAAGACGCATATGTTGTTTTATACTGCTGCCAACTGAAGACAAGCAGAAGTTCCTGATGTGCATTATCTACTGTAAAATGCTCTAAGATTTCCTCCACAAAAATCCAGAGTTGATAAGCAATTACCAATCTGTAATTTAGTGTCTCAGTTACTGCAACCAAAAGATACAACAGATTACACAGGATGAAATCCAGATGCCAGGAGTTGCAGCACGCAGTAGGTTTGCAATTTGGCTCTGTATTCGTGCAAGCGAGAAATAGAAGCTTCATTTTATCCTTGTGTTTCCTTCTCAGGTCCTTTACAGTGAGGGCAGTGAGGCACTGCACAGAGTGCTCAGAGAGGTCATGCAAACACCCAAGGTCAGGGGATGGGGCTGTGAGCACTGATGGAGCTGTGGGTGTCCCTGCTCAGTGCAGGGTTGGACCTGATGGCCTTTAGGGTCCCTTCCAACTCCAGCCATTCTGTGGTTCTTTGATTCTGTGGAAGTTGCTGGTAGCTTCTTGCAGGAGAAAAGTGGTCCATGGGGCACAAGAGGGTGCTGTGCTCTCAGTGTACAGCAGCTGGCCCCTTCTATAGTCATATAGGTTACTGTATCTGACATACAAATGAAAGATTAAAGAGGTAAAGCTTTAATATCTCATTAGATAGAAAGCTTTTCAGAATCTCCTTTGTGCTGTACAAAATTGTCTGAGATGTCTGGCAAGCGAGTGAAGCTTCAGAAAGATTAAAGAGAATTTCTTTTCTGTGAGAGAAATAGATGAGGTACAGAAGTAAGTGGTAGCTGAGAAAAGAATAGACATAAACTGACAAACTGCAATGGGAATTGTTACACAGAGAAAAACAGGTCTGGGAGAAACACAAAGAAATCAGAGGTGGCCAGAGGGAGGTGTCAGACCTCAGCAGGTGCTGGTGGCAGCAGTGCTGCAGCCCCTCAATGCTGGCACCTCGCACTGTCTGCATGGCTGCTCTGCGAGCAGGGCTGGCTGCTGGCAAACCTACAGGGTGCCCAGCCCAAAATAACCATCGTCAGTCTCCTGCAAACATCTCAGACAGGAAAGCTCCACAGACTCTCTGGAGAAATTGCAAACTGCATACAGGCATGCAGTGTAGCTGTGCAGGTAGTGTGGCTCACGGTGCTTCTCCTGTGTCAGCAAGGACACACGGGCAGCAGGAAGGTCCATTCGTACAGAAAAGAGTTTGAGCAAGGGCTGCAAGGCAGGGAGTTCGGTCTTGTTCCCACCTCTGTCGCTAATATGTTCTTGGATCTTTCACAGATTGTGCCTTGCTGTCTGTAGTCTCCCATCTGTGAAACAGGCATAATAACACTGAGACATCTTTGAAGAGAAAATGTCAGGGTCTGATTCCGTGTGCTTCATAAGGAGAAAAATAAAGGTCTGCACAGAGGGGCCCTTACATCCTGCGTATGGATAACTTCACCAAGATCTGTCTTCTGTGTAAAGTTAAGCACACTGTTACTGCAGGACATCAGGTCAGTTGTGCTTACTGACAGGTGAGAGGAATGCTGTATCTCTGACCTAAGGACTTAACTGAGTTAGACAAGGGCAGAAAAGCAGTAAATGACAGCAGAAGTGTTTGCACGACATGGCGTTCACAGGTTACAAGGCATCAGTTCTGCATGAGGATCATCAGTTGCAGTTAGCAGGTGATGCAGATTCATGGAGTGAATCCTGAGCACAAGAGGTATTTTGCATCTTGTTCATCTCAGTATTTTAAATCATCATCACAGGTTTTTGATAGGACTTGGCCCCCATGATTCAGAGAGGCAACAGCAAGTGCTCCCTTGGCTTCTGTCCCTTGCTGTTCCTTCTTTGTGCCCACCCCGACATTCTTTTCTAAGTTCCCTTGTACCAACCATACATCCACGTTGGGCAGCATTCAGCTTATGCTGTGTACCTTTAGCCTGAATGAAAGATGCTCTGAATCGTTATGAAAAGATCTTAAATCAGAATCACCATTTTCTCTTTGACCTAGCTGAAGATCTGAGCCAGTTTGTGCTGCTGTTTGTCCCGAAGGACGTTCCTAATGCCATCGCAGAAAGTAGCTGCCCTGGTCATTGGAACAGGAAACGAACCATCCTCATTTCTGAGACCAGATTCCTTGCTGCCACAGATAGTGCTTGGTTAAAAGATAAATGAGTCATATTTAAGTAATGTTAGTGTCCTTGCTCTAAGGGCTGAGAAGGCATCCAGGTACAGCTTCTGCTCCTTGCCTTTGGTTCCCCCTTGCTGTCCTTCTGCTGCCTCTTTAGAATCAAAGAGAAAAGAGTGCACAGCAGTCAGTTGGGTGCTTGCCACCCCTCACCTGCATTTCTGGGGGTATCACTGTGATGTGATTTCCCATCTGCCGGAATATGCAGCAAATATGCAAACAGGCTCTCAGCTTTTTTTAGCTCACAAAAGCAAGGGAGTCCTTTGAAAGGTCCTCGGTTTTACCCAATCATCGCTCCCTCCCTCGCGTTGTGCAGCATTATCATTCTCTGGCAGTGTAAATCCTCACATATGCCTGCCTCCCTCTTGCCTTCAGCCTCTCCCTCCCTCCCCCTCCCCACCGTGCTGCCATCGGATCTGTGATGATATGTGATCTCCTGGATACAATCACACACACACACAAGTACCAGGCACCGCTGCTCAGCTCAGCAAAATGTCTTTCTCATAGAAGTGCTCATCATCACAGCTTCCGAATCCTTGACGATGTGGCCATGCTTTCCTTTCTGCCTTCTACCTTTTTCTCTCTTTGTCTGCCTGCTCTTCTTACCCACGGGTCATCTTTGCCCTGCTGTCTGTAGCTGTATGGACTACCACACCATAGACTGCCGGGATCAAGGACTCCCCAGTGTTCCCAATCCGTTTCCATTGGATGTACGGAAACTTCTTATAGCCGATAACAACATCCAGGCGATACCAGCTGATTTCTTCATATTTTATGGAGACCTGGTCTATTTGGACTTCAGGAATAACTCCCTCACCTCTTTAGAAGAGGGCACTTTTAGCAGTTCTACCAAACTGGTGTATTTAGATTTAAGCTACAATAATTTAACGCAGCTTGAAGCCGGGATATTCAAATCGGCAGAAAAACTGATAAAACTCAGCTTGGGAAACAATAACCTGGTGGATGTGGACGAGGCTGCTTTTGAGAACCTGGAACAGCTGCAAGTGTTAGAATTGAACGACAACAACTTGCAGAGCCTAAACGTGGCAGCCCTCGAAGCGCTTCCCTCCCTGCGGACGATACGCCTGGAGGGCAACCCGTGGGTCTGTGACTGTGACTTTGCCAATCTTTTCAGCTGGATCCAGGACAATGCCTCTAAGCTCCAGAAAGGTAAAGCTCTGTGTGTGTGTGTCTTGGAGGGCTGTCTGTGTGCCCTGCCTGCGAGTGACCCCAGCTGCCTTTTGGTCAAACTGTAATTGCATGCTTCCAACAAATGAGTCCATTAAAATGGTGTTGGTTTCTTTTTAATGGCGCGTCCTCCTCCCAGCTAAGAAATAAATAGTTTTGATTTATAGGCTGAAGTTGCATAGGCAGTGAAGGAGCCTTTTCAAATCTGTTGTGCCCAGAGCTGATTCTCTTCCAGGCACCGGTTTCTTCCCGGTAAATACATTCCACAATGAGCCCTTTGAACAGCTGAATGTCCTGTGCCAGCTCCTTAGGAAAACTGTGCTTTCTCTCATTTTCCTGATCAGCCATAAAGCTGCTACAGAAGAGTTAAATCCCCGTTTTATGCAACTGTAGCTGTCAGCCCTTTTCCAGAAGTATTTTGTTGTGATGCTCTGAAACCCCGCTCAGTATTTCAATTATGGTGCTTTTATTAAAATAGCACCGCTTCCAATATTAGGAACAAATGAAAACACTCTGGAACATCCTCAATGCAGGATATACAATTCTGGATTTTGAGCTAGTAATTTTCAGAAAAGCATTGGGGAAAAAATAAAGAAGTATTAAGGCTGCCACATGTAGAGCTTTTGCTCCACGTTTCCCATCCGACCCCAAAGCCACGATTGATGCAGCTTTAGCAGATCGCCTCACAGTTCACTCCTCCCAGCAAACACCAGGGCACCCAGTGCTGCTATCGAGCTGCCCTGCTGCTCATAGAAGGGAAAATGTAAGGGCTGCCACGGGGATATGGGGTGCAGGAAAGCCATGGTGTGTGGGCTCTGCCTGAGGGCTGTCTGTGCAGGAGGTGGTGAGAGGTAAAAGGACGTGGGAGGAGAGCTGGGGAGATTGGCTGAGGTCAGGGAACTGTTCTGGCAGCTCCAGATGCACAAGGAGGAGGTCTTCCCTCTCTCAATCATCCATTTGCAATCACTTATTCAGGCTCCTTCTGCGCTCGTGACCTTCAGTGGCAACTTTTATTATACTCAGCTGGATTGCCCTAAATATTCTTAGCTGTTTAAAAATATATAGGTGTCTATTTTAAGGAAGAAGTAGTTTGAAGAAAAAGTTTCTTCTGCCTGTCTGAGTGAAGCTTTCCCGTTTCCCCTCTTTCATATCCCCTTTCCCTTTTCCCTTTTCCTCTTTTCCCCTTTTTCCCCTCTTTCCCCATTTTCCCCTTTTTCCCAACCAAACTCAGTGTTGCTCTCCCACATTCCCCAGTGCCTCAGCTGAAGTTCTTTCTGACCAAAGCATTTGCCTTTCTCACATTGGTCCTCAGCCACTCCTGCCTTCCCTGTGCCTTCCTTCTTTTTATGAACCTGTAGCTCCTTCCCCTTCACCTGCGCTGAGTCTGTTCAGTTTGAAAGAGTCTGTCCCAACCCATCTCTTTCTCTCCTGTCAGTGCTCATCTAAATTTCTTATGTCTGGAAATCTCAGATGATCAGGCTTTACAGTAGTATTCTCATTGTTCCCCATCTGCTTCAGTATTTCATCTCATCCAAAGTAATGGAAGCTGCTTTTCAGCCATACAGCCAAACAATTACCAGCCCTCCCAGATCTTTCAAAGCAAGAGAAGGGAAGGAGCAACCATTCAAATGGTCATTTCTTAGGTCAGTTCCTCCTTTCCCATCCTGGCCTCAGCAATGCTTTGCTTTGCCCTTCCTGTGGGCACGGGGCTGCTGAGCTCTTGGCAGCCCACGTGTATTCAATTCCTGCACACAGAGAAGTAAACCCAGCACTCTGTTGTTTGTAGGTCATGCTTGTCTAAACCCCTTCACATGGCATTTCTGGGGATGTCACACCTTCCCCAGCAGGATTTGGGGAGTGCAGCTCCCAGGCTCACCCTCCTGCTCCCTGCTTGCTCCCATTGCTGCTGGATGGCTGGAGATACTCATCCATGCTGCAAATGCAGAAAAGTAGGGCAGCATCGTTGTCTGGAAACCCTGCCAAAGAAAAAGACTGGAATACATTTCCAGGGCCCAGGGAAAGAACTTACTTACCTTGGCTGTATACTTTTATAATGCTGCAAAAAGCATTTTCATTGCATGGCCTATATGAATGGAAAACGGAAGGGCAAAAAAAGAGGTTGGGTGGTGCTTTTCTTTCAGTGATTTTCTTTAAGAATATGCTGTGATTAACACCGTAGAACAGGTTTGTGACAGACTGACACTGCCAGACGTTAAATGACAAACACTGTGACCTGGTTTTACTGAGAAAGGAAAGAATAGAGAAAGGTGAATGACAGTAACTTACATCGGGGATCCCCAGCCCTTCACGAAAAGCACAAAGAGCTGCAAAGGAGCCAAAGGCTCTATGAACCATCATGTGTGTTTTCTGTTTGGGATGCTTCAGAATTAGAAAGGGATGTGCCAAAGTGAGGTATTGGCACAGCTGCCCAGGGGGTGGTGGGGTCACCATCCATGGAGGTGTGCAGTGTGGAGATGTGGCACTGAGGGCAGTGGGCACAGTGGGGGATGATCTTAGTGATGTTTTCCAACCTGAATGGTTCTATGGTTCTGTGGAAGTGGAAGAGAAACGTGCTTTCTGACCACGCAGTGGATGAAGTGAGAATTCAGGCCTGCAGTTTGCAAGTGTTGCTGTGGCACAGCAGTCCCTGCAGGCTCAACAAGCAGAGGTAGAATGGCCGGGAGAAAAGCACTGCCAGGTTTGTGCTTTGGGAGCTCATTTTGGTTCTTCACTTTGAATGACGCTTGGAATAGTTTAATCTGCTCTGTCTGCATGTCTAAGAGAAATCACTCAAGCTGTAACCAGTCACACAGCCCGGCTGCTGTTCCACCTTTGAATTTCAGCACTGCAGTAAAATATCATGCTGGTCAAACCTGCCTTTGTTTTTCGCAGAAGAAATACCAAGTTGCTTTAAAAATCAGAGTTTTATCAATGGGAACTGAAATCTCACTAATTGATCCTGAAACTCTCTACCTCTGCAATTAAGGCCTCTGGAGAACTGGGCGATGTGAACAAAAGCCATACTTCAGCTCATTAGTCTCACAAAAGCCAGGTCCATTTTCTTTCTGGCACACTCCCAGAAAAAGCATGCAAAGCTCTCACTTTGCTGACCTGTCTGACCAGCTGCCTGGAAAGCCTCATCTCACTCTGCTGCCTTTGCAAATCTGCCTTGTCGCGCACACAGACAGCTGGGATCTGCATCGTTGGAAGGCATTTATTCATCCAACCTGAATTTCTAACTAAAGCAGTAACTGGCGATGAAAAAAACAGATCTTACTTTTACATTTGTGAGGAAGATATTAATAATGGAACTTTCAGCATACTTGAAAACTGAACTGCATTTTGGATGCGGTTGACAACTGGTGAAATAACTGCACTGCACAGGAAGGAGCTGTGAACAGAATGATGTTGAGTGGAGAAGATGTAACCACTGCTGTTCTCTTCCTGAGGAGACCCATGGAGATAAGAATAATGCATAACTTCTTTTGGAGGTGGAAAAGCTTTTGGAAGGTCTCTCTCTCTCGTGCTCTACAGTGATCTGTTGCTGATTTTTGCTTTCCATGAACATGCTTTGGACAGCTGTGCCCATCACCTTGTTCGCTAATGACTGATGTATTTTTAACGTGACTTTTAATTAGCACTTAAATATTCTTTAGCATGTGACTGTAGTGTCTCCTTTCCTTCATCTTGCTCTCATTTCTTTCTTTTTATTTCTTTCTTCCCAGTATCTTTGAAAGACCTCAAGAAGTTGTATAGCATTTCTGGGACTGCAGATCATGATGCAGTAGTGCTTTCTCAACCTTTCATGTCTATTTAAGTTTTATTTACGTTCCTCCCTATGCAATATATGAATGAAAGGTTTTGCTGCCCTCATCATTAAAATAGCATTAGAAAGACCTCAAATGATATAATGAGGTGGTTCAGACTGAGACTTATGATGTGTACACTGATATTTCCAGAGTGACTTAAGGAATTCGCTCAGCGTTGGCCAGAGACAGCACAGGTGGTGATGGGACTTGTGGCAGTGGGACTGGTAGCAATGGGATGGTGGCAATGGGATGGTGGTAATGGGACTGGTGGTAATGGGATGGTAGTAATAGGACTGGTGGCACTTGGATGATGGTAATGGGATGGTGGTAATAGGACTGGTAGCAATGGGATGGTGGCAATGAGATGGTGGCAGTGGGATGGTGGTAATGGGATGGTGGTAATAGGACTGGTAGCAATGGGATGGTGGCAATGAGATGGTGGCAGTGGGATGGTGGTAATGGGATGGTGGTGATGGGACTGGTGGCAATGGGACTGGTGGTAATGGGATGGTGGTAATGGGACTGGTGGCAATGGGATGGTGGCGATGGGACTGGTGGCAGTGGGATGGTGGTAATGGGATGGTGG